ATTACAGTCGATGCATCGGGCGATGCAGCTAGATAAGTCGATGCTCCAGCAGCAGCATCTAGCTAAATGAGTAAAAAAAATCTAGTTATCTAGCTGCATCTAGTAACTTTCCCAGCAGAAAAAAAAAAAGCGATGCAGGGTCGTTTTTTTTAGCTTGGGCAACAATGTAAAATTCAAGGCTCCATCTCTAGACAAAAACGCTGTGCATAGTTTGCGAGCGGAGAAGGTCCACATCGAAGCAATCTAAAGTTTGGCAATAGATGGAACATTCCTAATGGCTCCGGAATTTTCAAATACACTTTTCTGTATGCACGTTTAAATGAGCGATTTACAACTTCTTTGCAGTAGTTGTGCGGTAGGAGAGAACGATCATTTCTTGTGGAGAATTCTTTTCTGTACCAGTCAATATCCAAAAATTTTTGTTTTTGCGTTTGGGTTGAAAACAGCCGTTTAGAATCAGGTCTCCTGTTAAACATTTAAGAGATCGTTTCACCGACTAAAATTAATCTCAAAAGTTTTGCTCCAATGCACCTGATATATGCAGTTTTTTCGTTCGGCTATCAAATGACGTTTTTGGATTAGGCTTTTGTTCAGTTTTAGATTGAGGAATTCAATTTTTTCTGTCTTAAGAGAACATTTCTAAGTTTTTATTTTTAGAAGTCTACAAAGATCTTTTTTCGATCATTTGTCTGTCAACATGTAGCGCATTAAATTCTCTTTCGAATGGTATAAAAATAAAAGGTTCATCTATTTTGGACGCATCTACAAAATTAAAGATAAGAAAATGTACAGTTAATTATTCGATTCTCAAAACACGACTAATTTTAGAAAAAATTCTTTTGAATACCAAGAATTCAATCTGAAAACGTGTACTTCTGCTCAAATGTAGTATAGACTCTACTCTACCTATCGATAAAGGCGTAATTTCTCTAGCAACTTTTTTCCATAAGAAAATGCATTCGCAAAGTTTTTTCGTCGACTGTACGGTCGAATTTTCGGCCTACTGTATGCCTCTTATAACTGCAGTTTGTCTCTATTCTAAGGTGAAGCTCGGATAGTAAGGGCTAGTTTTCTAATTTTCTCAACTTTGAATTAAATTACGTCAACTTTCGAAGAGCTTTAAACCAGGCTTTTATTACCCACATGATTAACAGATCTATCAGAGAATTTAACTTTATTATTTGGCTACCGTTCGTTAGGAACCATAATTTCGAGATCTGTCCAAACATGACAAATGACACATATCTGAATCTGAACCACTTTTTATATCTGAGATAGGTTATCATATAGCGCGGAAAAACTTATTGATGAGATCTATCGTCCGTACGAAAAATTGCGAGGAATATGAGGGATATGCGGAATTACACGTGATTAATTTCGCATGTTCCATACGATCTCAGATCTACCTTGTGTCAGCTGAGGATAGTTCTTGAGCTCTACGGAAGCTGAATACCACTCTCGAATCATTGAAACCAAGGCTTCACTAGGCTTTCATTTTGAATAGCACACATTTTGGACTATCTGTTTGTATAGAATGTTTTCTTAATTTTCAGTAGCGAAAAATTAGACTACACAGATCCTCAGAAAACTTGAGATTTTGAAATTTCTTTTGGTTATCAAAAGACGCCCCTGATCATAGATGTCATCGGTCAAGATTTTCTCGACCGGATCGGTAACCGGTCGAAAAATTTCTGACCGGGCCAGCCGGTCGACCGATCATATATTTTCCTAGTTTGTAAGTGTAAAAGTGCTAACGACAGAGCAGTGCTAGGCTTCTGGAAAAACGTCCATAGTTTCCGAACCGTGGATTTCCAAGATGTCTCCTAGATTCAATTTTGTAGAGGACAATCGCTTAGCATTGAAAACCGAACTATACAGCTAATAAACAAGCACACGCACACACAGTTTTGTAGAGGACACTTCGGACTATATATGTATGAAAACAAATCCATAGATTTCTATGTCAGCTTTCATAGAACCGAGCTGATTTCTCGCAGATCTCCTGAAAAAACGATCTTTGAAATTTTTCCAAACTTGTTTTTGCTTATAAAAACATAGCTTCAGGTCTTGGCTAGCGAATGATGAAAACCGCAAGTCTCTATCTTTTATTTCTCTTAAAGTTATTCCAAAAATAACGACTGGCCTTGTAGTTTACCGCCGATAATAGTGCACCAAACATTAGAAAAGAAAAAAAAACGAACGGAATATTCAAGTAGTAGAGATTAACAGTCCTGCTCAAAGAGATAACCAAACTAACTTTCTTAATCTGAAATATGAAAAGCTTCGTTTTACTTAACTCAGCAAATTCATTCTCGACAAAGTACTGATTTTTCAGACAAAAAAACATTTTTTTTCGACCGGCCGGTTGTCGATACCGGTTACACCTCTGGCCCTGAGCTTGGCTAACAAATCGCAAAATCTTAGATCTTTATCTCATCATCGTTAATAAAAAAACATGTAAAGTGTAGCTAAGGCAAACTTGCAGTGGAGTGTTGTTCGAACATAAAATACACCATTGGATACAGCTCTTCGAGCTGATCAAGAATATGTAGTTTTTTAATTTTTTGACACGTTCGTTTCATGTCAAAAAATAGAGAAAACTCGAAAAAAAGATGATGTTCAAAAAGGTTCGGTTTTTCGACTTGAATTTTTGGCCGAAACGTTCAAATTATTTTTTCTTATTTATCGTTGAAAACTAAGTTACAAAATACTCCACAAGATTAAACCGTTCTCTCCTACCGTACAACTACTACAAAGCAGTTGTACATTCAATTCTGTCCCATAGTTAAATTCTGCTAGAAGCGAGGTAGAATTCTGAATTTGTAGGAATTCTGCCATCCCTCATGTCCACGTGTCAGAATAATACGCCGCTATTAGTGGCAATACCTTAAAGATATTGTCCAGCCACACGGCAGCGTCTTAAATACACAGATGTAATTTTTTTTCTTATCATTCGCGTTACTTTTCTTATCGTTCGTCTTTTTCAACGGGTATTATTTCTTAGTATAACAGAAAGAAAAAAAATATATAGACTATGAAAGAAAGAGAAAATCGCGTGTAGTAAACGAGTCTGTTAATATTACATACCGTACACAATTTTTTCTCTTGTGTGAAAGTCAACAGACAATCATAGAAAAATATTGTAATGAATCTTTTAGTGAGTACAGTTTTCGCAAAACTGATGCTTGTAGAAGATGAAAGGGTGTGCATAGATCTTAGACACAGTTATCTTACACAACGATAAATTGATTTCGTCAACATAGTCTCTTTTTGGTATAACCCAGAGACGGGAACTTGTACTTACGTTAGTACAAAAAGTATGCAAATAACATCCTGATTCTATTCTTCCATCTTCTTCTTCTTTTCTAGTTTATCTCATTGAAGACTTCAGGTACATTTCGTACTTTATAAACATCGGCACACAGTGCTACGTTGAACAATTATTTTACATTAAAGTTTCATTTTCAGAATTACACAAGAGGAAATTTTGCTTTTACAATAATAATCAAAATCCAATTTCTTACAAATGGAAGGAAGATGGAAACCTTTTCTTCTTCGCTCTCTGACATGCGGCAAAGTTAGCACGGAACTACCGGAACAAATGAAGGGGCTAAATGGCTCAAAAGCATACATCATTACTGGACACAGTTTAAAGACCAAAACTCCCGTCGTCTCACAAATTGAATCGATTCTCGGATCATCTCATGCCGGCACATCTTCATCTATTCAGCAGCATGCTCCTATAAAGGGGATTAATGAAGCCATGGAAGCAGTTGAGCAAACTGGCGCGGATATTCTCATCTCAGTTGGTGGTGGCTCACCAATTGATGCAGCTAAAGTAATTATATACAGACTTCATGAAAAGAATCCAGGTATATGGCTTCCTCACATTGCAATACCAACCACGTTAAGCGCTGCAGAATGCAACGTGATAGCCGGTTACACGTCAGAAGATGGCCGTAAACTATCCGTTCAAGATCCCCATCTCTCACCAAGTGCAATTATTTATGACGCCGAATTAGCAAAATACACACCTCAAAAGCTTTGGCTCAGTTCAGGCATGAGAGCAGTCGATCATTCCATTGAAATACTCTATCATCCGGAAGCCCTAGATATACCAACAAAAAGACTTGCGCTCGAAGCACTTCGAGATTTATACACTTATTTACCAAAGTCTAAAGAAGCGCCTGAAGATCTCAAAATTATTTCACATCTCCAAATGGCTGCCTTTGCTTCACTCTTTTCACTTGGACAAGTTTCTACCGGTCTCGGACTGAGTCATGCAATCGGCCATGCTCTCGGTGCTTCATATGGAATCCCACATGGAATCACTAGCTGTTTGACGTTGAGCTTAGTCATTGAGTTAAAATCAAAGTATCAAGAAAGTGCCTCGCAACTTGCTCGAGCATTGCCATATATTGGAATGGAGTCATGTGGTAATTCAGAGAAAGATGCTCAGACATTGGCATTTGCAGTGGATAATCTTGTCAAGAATTTGGGTTTGAAAACTACATTAAACGAATACAAAGTTCCGCGTGACCAAGCTGAGATCATAACAGAGCGAGCGCTCAAGAAAAGAGATGATCCTGCGCGCGATCGTGTTCTGGAACTCGTTCAGAAACTTTGGTAGGCAATTTTGATAGTTTAATTTTAACAAATTCAATCATAAAATTCGAATTAATCAGTTCTTATTCAGAAAAATCAGTTTGTAACTCGTATGAACAGACAGATGAAAGGAGTTCGTCGATATCTCTATTGTGCTGTGAAAACTATTATTTTTCGACATTATTTTCGTGTTATTTTTATTAGATAGAACTATTTTGTTTTCATTTCCTAAATTAAACACCTTTTATGCGGATCTTTCGATTTATATTTATGTTGAATGCTTTTGTAGCTCGGAACAGCATTTTGTTTGCTGATTAATAAAATAATAACAACAATTGATATTAAATTCATATTTATTTGAACTAAAATTAAATAAAAAAGGTTTAAAATTCGACCTTTTTGAAAAATATAATTTTCATTTTCAAGACACTAGAAAACGTTTGACACACGATGTAAAGTTCGTTTAAGTTTTATTTATCTAAGAAAAGAATGAAAACAATTTAAATAGGTGAAGAGAACGAAACGAAAGAGACAAACCCATCGTATCTTTTTGTATCGATGTAAAGTTAAAGTGAATACGACAGAAGAAATAAGATGAGAGAAAATACTTTTCTATACTTTTCGACTTTTTGTGTCTTCGTCTTCGCTTTTTTAACTATGTTTAACAAACAGCTCCAAAATCGACGGTTTGTGTCGTTTGTAAAATAGTTGTATTTCAACTTTGAGAGTCAAGACTAGGTATGTTACAAACCCAAACCCAAGTCTGGACTTGGGTTTGGGTTTGGGTACCCAAGTCTGAGACTTGGGTTTGGGTATTGGGTACCCAAGTCTGAGACTTGGGTTTGGATATTGAGTCAGACTTGGGTTATTAAAAGACTCCTTTTAACTGAGATACCTTCTTTTGT